ATTTCCTCACATTTTTACACTGCCTGGATGGAATTACCTTAAATATTAGATGATACGGATTGTTGCTGAAAACAATTCAAAATCAACAGTGATCTCCCAGAATTTTCTTGTGCTTTTTCGCCACAGGTCGTGAAACCAGGAAACTGGGTTTTGATGAAGGTGCTGAAGCAAAACAGATGGGGCAGCCAGAGGTCCATTCGAAGTACTCCTCATCACTCCCACTGCTGTGAAAATTGCTGAGAGGCCATCTTGGATTCATCTATCCCACTGCAAGCTCATCAACGTCAACTAACCACTCTAGCGTGGCAACGAAGTCCGGCTACAAAGGGGTGGGCCACCACTAGGGTGAAGATAAGATCAAGATAAAGATCTGCTTCAAGCTTGCTGGGTTCACCACATTGTTGATGTTGGTGGTTGCACTCATGGCCCTGCATTCGGGCCGCCTCTCAGCACCTGATGGAACAACTGAGACAGCAGCATTTGAGGGGGTACTAGAACTGGAACTGAAATGACGGATTGGGGCTCCTCCCTGACCGCGCACCTACATGACAACGTGACCTGCATCCACCTCGGCTGAAGACCCCCTGGACGCAACTACAACAGGACACAGTGAAGAAGAGACGCTGGGAAAGGATCAACTACCTGAAGCACCTGCTCCCAAATCGCCAGACTGGCTTCACGGTCAAGGACCTGTAGGACCTTTTCGGGGACAAGATCAGCTCCCTGACAATTGGACAACCGCCTTGACACACCACGGAAGGACCCTGAAGTCTTCCTATTGAGAAGTTGAACTTTGCGCTTCATGTTCCGAACTACGTTATTACTCTCCGGACCTGGACTTTAAGATACTTATCAACGTAAAACTGAAACCTTCCTGACCAACGGAAGAGGACTCTGACTTTCAAACCTATTCTCCAACCGGGACTCTCAGTCCACGGACAAGCCCTTTGATGAAGGACGCCTGGTTTGCCTCAGCTCTGCCATGGTTAGAGCTGCGTAAATTAATATTACACCTTCATTTTTCCTCATTCACAGGAAGATTAATCTGCAACTTGGAGCTTTAAACTAAATTCACCTGACGTTTTGATACACTGTACTGATGTTTTCTGTGTATTATATGAGTTTGCGAACCCTTCCCAATATCCTTGCAGGAACTGCCATAAGATTGTAGAATTGTGCATCACAGTAAATTCATTTCAATATGTATGAAATAGCTTTTCTTAAGTTTATAATTGTGTTGATTTAGCTGATTCTATTCTCTATCTCTGTGAACTGCTGTAAGATATTATTGTCAGTTGTGTTTGCCTTACCGTGTTTGTTACCTGATTTGTTCTTATTATTTTGCTGATTTTTGTATTGAACTTAGTATGGAATGATTCTTTGGACAAGTTAACAGGACACACACACAGTCTCTCTCTCTCTCTCTCTCTCTCTCTCTCTCTCTCTCTCTCTCTCTCTCTCTCTCTCTCTCTCTCTCTCTCTCTCTCTCTCTCTCTCTCTCTCTCTCTCTCTCTCACGCCCCCTCTCTATGGATAGACTCTGTAACCGGATGTTCGGTGCTTTTTGCCTCGTGCATCTTACCACAGTTATATCTGTTTGACTTGTCTGCTCATTGTCTCCTTCTCTCTTCATTATAGGAAATGGGTTATTGATAAACATATTGATAAAATCCATGACAAGGACCAGGTCTGACTGCTTTTATCAGCTG